GTCCAAAACAGTAGTACAGACTGTTGTTACAAAGGCATCTGTGCACAGTTGCTGGTAATGGTGGCCTTTTTTTATTTCGGAGAATGCAACTATTCCTGTGAACAGGTGAGAACGATGGTGTACGGCACTGTGAAGAACTGAGATGGTACCGATTTGGTTACACTTTACCAGTAAAGTTTCCCCCTTTATTTATTCCATTATATCTATAATGACTTTACAGAAATATTTTGGAATCCTTGCATTTTTATCCTCCTGATGATTTTGGCTCATTTTCCTTACCTTACTAGAAAGGCCTTACTATCTTGTTACATTAGCCGGAGAGTTTGATTTTCATGTCTCATTTTCTGTCAGAGTCCTGGCAATCATAGTATGTGATGATAGGGCTACTGTAGAGGACCACATGTGCAGTAAAGCCAGTCAGACTGTCTTTGTTTTTGTTGCACATTAATGAAATGCTGTAGATGCTTTTATCATTTTGTTGCTCTTCATTTGAATAAAAATATAAATAATAAAGGTTTTCTTTTTTCTTCCTCCAAAAGGTTTGTATAGTTTATATACTGCTTAAAAACGTTTAAGAAACACTTTGAAAACACATCAGATCTCAGTGGTTAAAAAGAAAAGCATGCTGGATATCTATGCAGATATGGACCGGGTAATGTGTTAGTAATGAAAGGATACCAAATCATTACATAAAGTCAAACAACCAAAACCAAATGATACTCAGAAGTTTTTATGACAATCAAAGGATTTCATCCTGAAACCTAATGGCAGACAGGGTGCTGGTGCCTAGCCTGCAGAGGTCTGTGCATCCTTCTGTGAATACGCCTCTTCAGACCATCGCTGACAGCCGTAGTGAATTTAATGAAAGTAACTCTATGAAATAAGCTTGCACCATTGAGTCTTACGTACATGGCTTAGGTAAAAGAGAATCTCTCAGTTTAGGGTTATGTAGGGACAGATCCAAATAGAATATAAAATCGCACTAAAGCTCGCTCAGTATTAAGAAAAGTATAAGATCTGTTTACAGTCAAACTTAAAGTCTGCCCGGCGACCAGGAAGGGTTTGTGGATGAGCAGAACATTGATCTAATTGGTTTCTGAGTCAGTGCATGTTCTCTGATGTGCAGACGAATGGCAGTATGAAAACAGCAGGCACTAGAGCAGCCGGGAAACCTGGAAGCTTTAAACAACCGGAAGTCATCAATGATACTTCTCCGCTGCACCACCAGAGGCCATCATAGCTCTGCTGTAAATGTTTCTACCTGCCCCAATTCATGCTCTTACAGTCCGAGATTGATTGATACTGATACTGACTATGTTTGGATGTATTCATGTAAAACCCAGATGCCCGATCCTTACAGTGGGAAGGTAAAACAGGACTCTTTGGTTGTTTGGCTCCATATATAAAATAACTGGCATAAATCCAGCCATTTAAACTTCAGTTGTCATTTTTATTTTAAATCAAGCATTCTTCGAGAACTTGGTGTACCTTGCATATTGATATACTGTGTGATACCGATTGAACTGAATAGGTCCCAAACTCGCAAATTATAGGTATGTTTTTGATTTTAGGGTAGTATAAAGAACACGTGAAATCTAACTGCACAGTCATGAACTTTAACATTTAACATACTAAGTAAGGCCTGTAGAATGTGAGATGTAGTTGCTCTGAGCATTGTAAGGCCTGACGTTAGGGTGAATTTGCTGGAACACCACTGCTGGGAAGGCTGCAAATTGTCTTGAATGTTTTTCACTTGTGAAAAATCTTTCTTTTTATATATATATATATATATATATGGAAATGGCCTTGTAACCCTCCCCAGGTTGATGGGCAGCAACAATTGTTTCACTAAGTTCACTTCTGATCTTTTTCTGGGCGTTGTGTTAACACACATCTGAAAAAGCTTTTATAGAGGCAGTTGATACGCTCAACCTAGATGCTTTTTACCCTCCCGATGTCTATGGAAGCACTGAGGTTGCACTTATTTGTTTCACACACTGCTTTTGCATTTTGGCTTATTAAATAATGTAAAAATTTAAGACCCAGGTGGGCCAGGTGACTTTTTTTTTTTGGATGTTTTGATACATAAAGTGCAATCAAAGCATCTCATTCTGTTTACTCAACATATGCACAGATGCAGACCAAAGATGACTATCAGGTCACATGACCACATATGTCTCATTTATTTAAAAGGTTATCTGATCTTTCAAAAGCACAGCAACCTTGTGACCAATGACGCCCAACTGAGGACAAGGAGAGGCTGATGCAGTCACCGGATCAGCGTTACACAAGTTCAATCAGCACTTCGAAACATTACATAACTCACGAGAACACATTAGATAAACTCTGATCTCTTGTATGATCTATGAATGCGGAAATGTGAGTGACGTGTGCAACACAACGAACTGATCAGAAGTCTATCAAGCAGACACGTTCAAACTATTGCTAATTATCCAAACTTCTGTTCTTTAATACCTGCATCTATTTGTTTTTCTTCTCAGTTGCTCTCTTCTGAAGAATTTGTGACTGCTACTGTTTTTATGTTTAACAAGTGAGCCTTATCCTCTCACAAATATCTCTTTATTGTCATTGTATATGTACAATGAATTTGTGAGTGTTCCACAGCAACTGTGCAGGAATAAAATATAAATAGTAATACAGAAGGAATAAATAGCAAACCACAGGAATATATGTATATGTACAAAACAATAGGAATATACACAAAACAAGGGGAATATACACAAAACAAGGGGAATATACACAAAACAAGGGGAATATACACAAAACAAGGGGAATATACACAAAACAATAGAAAAGCCACACATTAAAAGGAAAGGGTTGCGAAGTGCTTGGAATTAGTGCGAAGAAATGACTTGATCTGAATGGACACATGCAGGTGGTGCAGGTGCTGCTGTGCCTTCTTTACCAGGGCCACGGTGTTGCCATGATGCCATGAGGAGTTCTTTCATTTTGCGGACGTTTAGCTTCAGGCCATTTTCTGAGCACCAGCAGGACAAATTCTCTACCTCCACCTTGTATGCTGTCTCATCTCCATCAGAGATGGGCCCAAATACGATGGTGTCATCGGCATACTTGAAGGTGGTGTTGGTTGGTTGGATTGGTGTACAGTCATATGTGTGCAGGGCAAACTGGGGGCTGAGAATGCAGCCCTGTGAGGATCCAGTGCTGAGTGACAGTTGGTGAGGAAATCAAAGCAGCAGAGATGCTGAAAGTTGCTGAAAGCTTTTGAGAATGTAAAATGTCATCGACCGGGGATGCAGGTGCTGCAGGTCCTCATTCAGTGAGACAATGGCAAAGACTCGTCATCTAATGTGGGTGTTTGTCTAAACTGCCATTTTTGGTGTCAGATCACTGCTGAATAATGGCGATATGTTGTTTTTCATGAAGAACTGTGCATGTGAAGCTTTATGTTGGTATCTGGGGACTTTCATTGACAATTATGTAACTATTTTTCCACGGCTGCTTCAGATCTTTTGATAACTTTTGTGCTACACAGATGTTAGATAGTGAACATGCCTCACATTACATAATTGACAGAACACTGTGTAGTTTCTGTGCAGACCTGTCTCAGGTGACACTAACAACACAGGGGGTTCTGCAGTCCTGCCAAACTGCCGCTCTTCATATCAGTCTAAATTGATGTATTTCTAAATGGCAAATTAGCACATTTAATAAGGTAGAGTAACAGAGACAAAACTATTTTATATTTCACTCAGTCACTAGGTAGAGCTTGCTAGTACTGGATTGAACACCATTTTCAGATTCAGATAACTTTATTAATCCCAAAGAAAGGCAATTTGCTTGGAGGTTACCTGCACAACTTACTCACACAATCTAGAGTCCTTAAACACCAAGCAATAACTACTGTAGCATGTCAAGGCAAAGCTCAACAAACAATAATGTTTAAAAAAGAATAAAAATTAACAAAACAATAATTAAATAGAATAACAAGAACTAAAAATTGAACAAAGAAGGTGTTATAGCCGAGGGAATGAAGGATTTTTAGCATTTCTTTGTTCTACACTAGAGTACAAGGAAGCAGTGATCTGAGAGCAGCTTCCTGAACTCAGATGACACACATGGTCAGGGTGCAATAATAATGTGTTTTTATGAGAAGGTGTTAGCAGATGCTGTTGGAGGTTTTACCCTGAACAGGCAGATGAAATAAAATGTTAAAAGCCTTTCAATAAACTGAACAATAAAAATGACAGAACTGCTTTAATCAAAGATAGCATAGATTCAACAGGGAGCATTCCTTTTGAGACTTTGGCCCATATTAAGATGATACCATCACATAGTTGCTGCAGATTGGTCAGCTGCACATTCATAATGGGAATATCCTGTTCCACCACATCCCTAAGGTGCTCAGTTGGAGTGATATAATCAGCCATCAGAAGATTG